AATAAATTATGTTATTTTTGTTTTCTTTGCGCTCAAAGTATTCTCGTAGCTTCGCAAAACTGAAGTTGAGCCACTGATGTCACATGGACTGTTTTATCGATGTCCTTACTACCTGGCTGGACCTGGGAACATTACAGTTGCGTTGTTGTCTATGCAGGGTCTGAGAGCTCTCACATTTCATCAAAAATATCTTAATTTGTGTTCCGAAGATGAACGAAGGTCTTACAGGTTTGGAGTGACATGAGGGTGAGTAATTAATGACAGAATTTTCATTTTGGCATGCCATGCCTCGGCCCGGGAAGTCAGGGGTTGGATTGGTTCGAGTGCCTTGTCGCAGCAAGAGGACACGGTACTCATGAGAAATGGAAGAGGAAATATGCTCTCTTTTTGAAAATGTTTGTGTTTTAATCTGCCCGCTATAACAGCGTTTTGGCAGGAAGTGTCGCATGGCTTGGGATGACATTTGTGTCTCCGTGAAATGCTCAGCGAAGCCTTCGACCGTTGGCCCGAACAGACCGGTGGGGGAGCCTGGAGCATCAAGGAAGGGAACCTTGTCGGCGTCCTTGATTTCCGTCAAGGTCAGCCATAAGTGGTGCTCGAGCACCACCAGACTGGCCATGGAACGCCCTATAGCCTGAGCCATAGCTTTGGTGGTGCGCAAAGCCAGGTCCGTCGCACTTCTCGGCTCCTTGAGCGACGCTGGGTCTGGGCCAGACTCATCCATGCTGACGAGGAGTTTGGCCTGGAAGACCGGGAGGACCGCCATTGAATGGAGCGCCAAGGCCGCTTGCCCAGCTGATGAGTAGGCGCGTCCAGCGAGGGCTGAAGTCGTCCTACATGGCTTGGACGGATGGGCGGCCTTTGCCTTTCAGCCGATAGCAGTGGGCGGGCAGGGATGCGTGGCCACTGACTTGTCCAGCGGAGGCAGCTTTTCGTATCCCTTATCTTCAGCGCCGTCCACCGAAGTGAGGGCGGATGAAGCGGATGTAGTAAATCAGCTCAAAAGGGAAATATTTATGACTAATTATAACTGGTTATGATTAATAATAAATATTTAGATTAGATCTTAGAATTAACTGTAGCAGAATCAATATTACAATTATTTGATCTGTCCGTCCACCGAGCAGACAATATAATCATTTATCAATTCAAGGAAAGATTATTTTCCTGGCCAAGAAAGAATAACTTTCCTGCATACAGTTCTAGCATTAACTTAGCATGTAGCAAGGGATCAAACATTCAGTGACTCCGAATTGTGAGCAGCACACAGAGGCAATCAATTGTGAATATAACGGATTTAATAAATGAAACTATATCTAACACATAACTAAACTAAGCACAACACATATATACAGAATGAAGGAAAGTAAGGAAGAGAGAGAAAAGAGTAAAAGAATGGCAGTATTTCACATCAATTAACCACAACCTAATGAGAATCATCAAAGAATCAAATATCACCTTAAAAGGGGCTGAAACTTAAACACGCATCTAAATAATTGTAAGCGGTTACTTGCATTGGTTTCGATTTGCTGAAACAAGAATCCTGATGCGGTAGACACCGGAGGTCTTTGATGAGTTCGTGATGAGTGAGCTGGAAGTTTTACTTCTGGTTCTTCTGACGAAGGAAAAGTCCACAGCGACTAAAGTTACTTGAAGATAAAAACTGCCGGAAAATAAAAACTCAAGAGGAAAAATCTTGAGAGTCTTGGAAAAGTGTCGTCTCAAACGAAGAGGGTTTCTGAGCAAAGATTATTTCGCTAATGCCTTTTTATGGTTCCTATCCACACCCACCTTTTGGGTGGAATAGCCAATACCAGGCGTGAATTTTTGAGCGGGAGAAGTTTCCTTTGTTTCCCTTTATGGCGTCATTTACTTGTCTTTGGAAACTGTTTGAAGTCAGACGGGGAGATGCGAGTGGTGGAGCTGTTCAACATCTCCTTGATAGTGAGAGGAACCATTGGCAATTTAGCATCCATACAAATGTGGCATGTGGCCAGGACTGTAATTTATATGCAAATGTCAAAGGCTAAAAGGGGTCTCTTAAGCCATAAACCCCAAAGACCATACATGATTTTACGCAGACGCTACAGGTAGTACGGAGACGTGCAGAGTATGGGGCGCGCCACGACCTGTAAGCTCGTCATGGACCTCCGGGAAAAAAGGAGAGGATCGCTGACGAGGGGCTTTGACGGCGCCCCGGCAGGAACCACTCACCCAGACAGCTGCGGGAGCTACTTTTCATACAGATTATTTCTTTTACATTTTCATTTAATAAAAAAGCGATTTACAAATGAGCACAATAGAAGCAATTAAACCAACAATATGCAAGTGCTGTGAACTAGTCTCAGTTAAGTCTAGCACAGTAAACATAGCAAAAAAAAAAATTCTATGTCTAGCGGACATAGAATATTAGGTGTTAGTATTAATGTGTCATGGTTCCTGGCTGTCCTGGATGGAGTTACGGTTGACGAACCTAGCTGAATGGAGAAGTTGTGATGGAGTGCTGGGTTGGCTGAGATCACAAGCAGCTCTGTCTTGGGAAGGTTGAATTGAAGGCAGAGGTTCTTCGTCCAGCAAGAAATGCCTGTCAGGCAGGCTGAGATGCAAGCAGCTACCGTCAGATCATCTGGCTGGAATGAGAGATAGAGTTAAGTGTCATCAGCATAGCAGTGATATGAAAAGCCACGTTTCTGAATGACTGATCCAAGTGATGACGTAGATGGAGAAGAGAAGTGATCCAAGCACTGAGTCCTGAGGCACCCCAGTAGCTAGATGTTGCGGCTTAGACACCTCACCCCTCCACTTTTTAAGAGTAATGTCTGAAGAACAATTAATGTTGAAACTAGAAATGTATCTCGTTTTCCCTCTATCAAAATAATGTGCTAAAATGAGTGTCAAAAATACTCAATGGCATATGGGACAAAAGAGGCAGTATGTTTACAAATATCAACATTAAGTTATTACTGTTGACTACTATAGCAGTTTTTTTCATGCATGCAATTTGCTTATACTTAAAACAAGTGCGATTCATCATATGATGCGATTTAAATTTTTCCTTTCTCTTTAGAGAGTTACAAGCTCTTGGTGCATAAAGAAGATCTGTAAAGTTGCAAAGACTAAAGTTTCAAATCCAAAGAGATAAGGCGTAACTTTGATTCTCGCTGTAGTATTGTTGTTGCCGTGTGTTTTGTTGTGAAAGCGAAACCAAAAGAGGACGATATCCTTTTGTATTCGTCATGCCTAGAGCTGATCCGTGCTGGTCGCTGAGGAAATACATCAACTTCGCACTGTGGATCACCGGATCGGCTTTCACTGTGGACGAAGTGGAGTTCAGCCCGGTGTCGTCACATGTAGTTGCCGGGGGTCGTCACATGTGGTTGCCGCAAGCCCGCCGGCCGCGCCCCGCTCACTCTAGCCCGCCGCCGCTCACTCAAGCCGGCCTCCGCTCACTCTAGCCCACCCGCCACCGCTCACTCTAGCCGTCGGCCTCCGCTCACCCTAGCCCGCCGTGTGTGACGCTGTGTGTTTCGCTGTGAAAGTGAAACTACTTTGGCCTTCCAAAAGTGGACACAACTAGAAATCAGTGGTTAAGTTGTATTTACAACACTGTTCCTGAACAGTTCAACCCAAATATTCAGATGTGTGCAGCACATTTTATGGAGGACTGTTTCCTGGGAGAGTAGACTACAATGCCGGCTGTTCTGACTCACAGCCTGTAAGTACGTTTTTTATATTTAAAGAATTTGCCACTGATGATTCAAACACGAGTTTTGAGCAGTGTAAAGTAGCGC